GGATTATCGTGAGTGTCTGCTGCAGTGGAACCCCTAAAAGTAAATTATAACGAAAGAGATAGAAGAAAAAAAATAGAAAAAAAAGAGGGAAGAATTAGAGAAAGTATTTGGAGGAAGAAAAATCGAGAATTTTTCTTTGATGAGAACTCTGAGGGAAGAAAAAAAAAAAGATTATATAGATAAAATAAAAAATTTCAAAGGAGAATTAGTTCAACTAAAGAAATTGCAAAAGTTTTCAAGGATTATTATAGTAAAACTATATAATATTGCCCCCAACGACCCTATAGATAAGAACAAAAAGGTATAAAGGAGGAGAAGAGAAGAGAATATCTTTACCAAAAGTAAAGCGAAGATTTATAAACTCATTAGAATCTGAAATCTCACAGGAAAGAACTAAAAATAGCATTAAAAAGCTTTTCGGGGAAATAGTCTCTCTTATACCGTGAGATACTATTAAAAAATCTGACTTACTATTACCTAAATTAAAGAGGTATATTTGTGAGACAGGAATCCCTACAGGCCCAGGTGGTTTTGATACATAAGGAAGGTAAAGATATCTCCCAGTGCTCAAGTTTATAGACCGATTATCATTGCTGAACACAGGATACGAAGTTGTTTTTAGCAAATAGGTTAAGGATTGATGCCAGAATGGATACACGGGGATCAGGTGGGTTTTGTTTAGCGATGATAATGGGTTGAGATCTGATGCTTATTCAGAAAAGTCTGGGAAAAAATTACTGTTGCTTCAATAGAGCGGAGAAGGCGTTTGACAGGGTCAATTTTTTATGATGGATACGTTGGGACTGTGGGTAATTGGATAATGTATGAAGGACCGTCCGCGATGATAATGGTAAATGGAGAGAGGATCTGAGTCTTTTTTAATGACTGGAACTAGACAGGGTTGCCCATGTTGTTTGTCTTATCATCCTAACAATCAGGAAAAATATAGATATATTGGGAATTAATGTAGGAAAGATAGAGCATAAAGTCGCTGCATTTGCGGGATGACCTATTGTTCTATATTTAGTAACCCTCAGGATAACGCTTTCCTAACCTAATGAAAAACATTGAAGGAACTATGGGGAATTGGCAAAACTAAAAATTAATCAGAGTAAAACAGAGATATTAAATATAAACCTTCCAAAGAGTGAAAAAGAAACGATACAGAGAGAGTTCCCCTTTATATGGAAAGATAGAGAAATTTAAATATTTGGGAGTAAAACTTACTTCTTCACAGAAAAAATCTTTATAAAGCAAATTATATACCATTGCTAAATGAGGTCAGGGAGGAATTGAAGAGAATCGGAGGAAATCCTTCGTGGCTAGGTCGTATTAACCAATAAAAATATTGGTAAATTTCCCTAAGGTTTGTATAAACTCCAAATGATTCCCATTAAACTCCCAGAGACATACTTTAGAAACAATTAAAACAAATAGTAAACAAGATATATACTTATCTATGAAGTGCTAAGTAGAAATAAAGAAAAGGGTGGGGTGGGACTGCCGGATCTCAAAAGATATTATAGAGCAGTGATTCCTATCAAGATTTTTGACTGGAAACTAATATAAAGAGTAAAAATTGGGTTACAATAGAAAATACACTTAGTGGGAAAGATTTGAGTGGATTGTTTGGGTATCAAACACAGTTTAGAGAATTAGCTGAGAGCACAAGTCCATTCACTAGGATTGTTTTGAAAGAATGGGTTAGATTTGCACAAACAGAGGAATTGGGGATTTCAACTCATTGTTAATGCCATTAAGAAAATTCAGAGTTTTTCCCCCCAGGTAAAGAGGAAATTACGGGTAAATGGATTAAGAAAGAGGATGCTCAGTTGAGAGACGTAATGGAGGGGGTAAACTTAAGAACACTAGAGGATTTGAAAAGGAAGAGGGAGGGATTTTTCACTAAAATAGATATATGGAGGTATAATCAATTAAAAAATTTGTGGGGAAAAAAAAAAACTGACGAAGCCCCTTAGAATTAGAAAGGATTGGAATTTATTTGAGAAATTTTTTGAAGTGCGAGGTGATGGGAACACAACACTGCTAAAACATATAAAATTCTCACTGATTTAGATAGTAAGGTAAAATTAAGATATATAGAAAAATGGGAAAGAGATTCGGGGGTGGGTGGAGTGGGAGGAACATACACAAAGAAAAATATATATAGAATGGTACATGGAAATGTTAGTATACGGGAGGTGGAGTTGAACTATAAATGTTTAAGTAGGTGGTATATCACTCCGATAGTAGAACACAAAATGAGTGGTGAGAAAAACAATCTGGGTGTTGGCGAGAATGTGGAGAGAGGAGGGCACAATGTATCACGTGTGGTGGGGATGCCCAAAAAATACAAGTTTACTGGAGGAAGGTTATAAATCAAATTAGGAATATCACTGAAATTGAGATTGGTTTGGACCCTGAGATATGCCTTTTTTATATCACAGAAATATCAATGAAAACATTTAAGAATATGGGTATAGAGTGCTACTTAAATGCAGCTAAAGGGTTGATACCTAGGTTCTGGCGTAAAGTAGAGGCACCGGAGGTAGATGACTGGATAGCCAGAGTGGACCAGATTGTTAGAATGGAGAAACTGTATTATATACAGGAGGATAAGATGGAGGTTTTTATTATACAAAATGGAAGAAAATGGGTAGGAATTTAGAGCAAAGAAGAAAGAAGCTACTCCGTAAATAAGAATAAAGATGGGAATCGGACAGATGTCAGGGGTTTATTGAAGAGGGGAGGGAGGGAGGGGGGGGGGGGGGGGTTGAGGGGATGGGGGTTCAATGGGAGAAAATGATATGCAATAAGTGTTTTTTTAGAAGAAATTTGTTATGTTGTATTTTAATACATCTTGTGTTGGAGATATTTATATTGCTATAGTTGAAAACAAATAAATATTAAAAAAAAAAAACACTGATCTTGTTGAATCTAACTACAAAACGCTACTTCGATGGTATTTGGTTCCTGCTCGCCTAGCCATAATGTATCCTTCTGTTTCATCTGGCTGTTTCCGACGCTGTGGTCAAGAGGGTACCATGTTCCACGTCTGGTGGAAATGTCCAGTCGTGAGTAGGTTTTGGATCCGCATATTTAATTTTCTTTACTCAGTGACAGGAATTAATATCCGTAGATCGCCGGAAGTGGCCTTGTTTAATATACTACCCTCTGATGTTCCCAAAAAATCGATTAAATTAATTTTATATATCATATTGGCGGCTCGCATTACCATAGCTAGGAGTTGGAAACAATCCTTGATCCCACTGGATAGAGTGAAACAAAAACTCAACTGGATAATGGTTAATGATAAACTGACGAGTATCGTCACTGATGATGTGTCTAGATTTGAGAGGACTTGGGATCCTTGGATTAAATATATTACTGTATCGTGAGTGTCTGGCAGCTGACTCCCCCCCCCCCCCCCCCCCCCCTTTCTTATATATATTTTTTTTTTATCTTTCTTTCACTTAAGAGTACTTTCCTTTTTGTCTCTCTCTTCCTCTTTTTTTCTACTATTTGTTGAAACATTTTTTTTTCTTTCTGTTATTTTTGGTTCATTTTGGTTTAATTTTTGTTTATTGCTCTATGAAACCTGTATGTTTTGATGGCTTTGACATTTTTTATGTGAATTGTAATGCTATTATCTGCTAATCTTTTTATGTACCTACCAGTGTTATGATTATGATTCTACATCTTGTTCCACCATGCGGGTGGGCCCTTTTTTTTTTTTTTTTTCTCTTGTATTGTTTGCCATCTTGTTTTACGCTTTAATATGCTTGTTTCTCAATAAAAATATTGAAACATAAAAAGCGCTGCACCGCAGATTACTTCTCAGAGGACAGTAAAAAGGTTTAAAAAGCTCTGCTCCGCAGATTACTTCTCAGAGGACAGTAAAAAGGTTTAAAAAGCGCTGCAAGCGCTGCACCGCAGAGATTACTTCTCAGAGGACAGTAAAAAGGTTTGATTAGCACTGCACCGCAGATTACTTCTCAGAGGACAGTAAAAAGGTTTGAAAAGCGCTGCACCGCATATTACTTCTCAGAGGACAGTAAAAAGGTTTAAATAGCACTGCACCGCAGATTACTTCTCAGCAGAGGACAGTAAAAGGGTTTGAAAAGCGCTGCACCGCAGATTACTTTTCAGAGGACAGTAAAAAGGTTTAAAAAGCGCTGCACCGCAGATTACTTCTCAGAGGACAGTAAAAGGTTTAAAAAAGCGCTGCACCGCAGATTACTTCTCAGAGGACAGTAAAAAGGTTTAAAAAGCGTTGCACCGCAGATTACTTCTCAGAGGACAGTAAAAAGGTTTAAAAAGCGCTGCACCGCAGATTACTTCTCAGAGGACAGTAAAAAGGTTTGAAAAGCGCTGCACCGCAGATTACTTTTCAGAGGACAGTAAAAAGGTTTGAATAGCACTGCACCGCAGATTACTTCTCAAAGGACAGTAAAAAGGGTTTTGAAAAGCGCTGCACCGCAGATTACTTCTCAGAGGACAGTAAAAAGGTTTAAAAAGCGCTGCACCGCAGATTACTTTTCAGAGGACAGTAAAAAGGTTTAAAAAGCGCTGCACCGCAGATTACTTCTCAGAGGACAGTAAAAAGGTTTGAAAAGCGCTGCAGCGCAGATTACTTCTTCTCAGAGGACAGTAAAAAAGGTTTAAAAAGCGCTGCAGCGCAGATTACTTCACAGAGGACAATAAAAAGGTTTGAATAGCGCTGCACCGCAGATTACTTCTCAGAGGACAGTAAAAAGGTTTGAATAGCGCTGCACCACAGATTACTTCTCAGAGGACAGTAAAAAGGTTTGAATAGCACTGCACCGCAGATTACTTCTCAGAGCACAGTAAGCATTACCACCTGTCTGAAAGTCATAAAAATATTAAGATGTGCTCATGAATATTAAGGTGAGTTCAGCAGAAAACTGTGGCACACTATCTGACCTATTCTTCCCACATTTAAATTAGCCAGTCTGTTAAATGTAAATGTAGACTCATACCTGTGCATTCCCGAAAGGCACCAGTGTAACATTCATAATGTCAGGTAACATTAGAAATGTGGGGTACAGCTGAAGAGCAATAAAGCTCCGGCAGCCCCCACAAAGACTCTCATAATAAAGTTCCAAATTCACTTTTTCGTCATTGGTCTTTTTGACGTCTTTATGGTTATAGTAATCCAGACACTGCTCCTCCACCTGAATATAAAACACAATAATTACATTAGATAGTAACATTTCTATATTCATAGGATCCAAGTGTTGCACACTGATGTTTTTATATACCATGATATATGGGTGAACAGTTCTTAACACAGTATTATTATTATTATTTGTGCGCCCTCCAGAGGATTTACCCCCTTTCCTGACCAAGCCATTTTTTGCGATACAGCCCAGTGTTATTTTAACTGAAAATTGAGCGGTCATACAACGCTGCACCCAAATGAAATTTAAGTCCTTTTTTCCCCACAAAATAGAGCTTTCTTTTGGTGGTATTTGATCACCTGTGTGGATTTTATTTTTTGCAATATAAACAAAAAAAAGACCGACAATTTTGAGAAAAAAAAAAACAATATTTTTGACTTTTTGTTATTAAACATGTCCAGTAAAAAAAATTAAAAGAATCAAATTTCATCACATTTAGGCCAAAAGGTATTCTGCTAAATGTCTAAAAAAAAAAACCAATGCATGTAAATTAACCACTTGCCCTCCAGAGGATTTACCCCCTGTCCTGACCAGGCCATTTTTTTGTGTTACGGCACTGCGTTAATTTAACTGACAATTGCACTGTCATGCAACGCTGCACCCAAATTAAATTTACATCCTTTTTTGCAGAGCCATCCAAAGCAGTGTGCAGGAGCTGACAGGAGAGAGATCTGTGCTGTTTATACACAGGTCTCTCCCCCATCAGTAATACACAGCGATCACCGGGTCCTGGCGGGGAATCACTGGCCAGAACCCTGTGATTGATAGCTAAGGCCGTGAATGGCAGCGTGGCCCCTACCCAGAACTGCAAAATCACGTGTATATATACGTGATTTTGTGCACCCGTGCTGCCCTGCAGAGCTCCCCCTCATTTAATAAGTTGTGGGGCAACTGCACTTGAAGAGTGCAAATGCACTTTCTAAAGTACTCTGTCTAATTGCCTTTAGTAAATCCATCCCCCAATCAATGAGATCTCACTGTTCAATTAAATTTAAACACCACCACCTCTTCTCCTGTCTTTCAAAAACACTCTGGCACATGAATATGGTCACCAATATGAATGATTTTACCTTCATACTTTTATTTCCCTGGCAACATGTGGAATGCATCCTTCAAAATTATAAATCAGCTAGCATAGAGAAAAGAAATACTGAAGCCGTCACAATATTTTAATGTATAACAAACCACAGTCCTTAAAAAAAGGTACTTTTCTCAGAACCTATCCAGAAATAAATAGTCCTCCCCAGTTCTGTGTATCAATATAGCTCTGGATAAACTGTGGGTAAAGAATTCTGTATATGGAGGTTTTCTATTCCTATGTATTTATTTTTTGTATTGGTTGAACTAGGTGTCTTTCTTCAACCTGACCAATTATGTAACTATGTAAGTACTTCCTTCACATCCGTATCTTCCAATAGTTCAACAGATTATATAGCCATCTGAATAACCTTGGTGACTGGTAATAAACAGAACATGATGATATCATTCCTGGCTTTACACTTCCTGGTTTATTCAGAATTGGAATGTGTCCACCTATATACATAAATCATCCAGCCAAGAGAACATGGTGAGGAGCGCCTGATATGGCTGGTCACATTGATGCGTTTCATCCACTTAGGATGAACAGAAAGGTCCTCCTCCTCCATTTGTAGATTAGCTTTCATTGATGGAAGCTACAACAAGGCTGCTATGAATGGAGGAGGGGGTGGAAAAGGGTAGGCATAGTTGGCACCCATGACAGATTCAGCCTGTATTAACCCCACAAACCTGAAAGTATAAGACTATGGGTGTATGAGGTTGGGAGGTGTAGTGGACTTTGGATTTCAATTAATCAAGCAGCCAGCAGCACAAGCACCATTTCTCATTAATTATAAATTTTGTGCCAATTTAAAAAACAATAGCTAAATTTAGGGTTTAAATCACCTATTGCATAAATGCAGTATTGTTAGTACTGAAGAACCTATTGTTAGCCATATGTATGTTAGCCAGCATCAGGGGGTTAAAGAAAAACAGTTAATAAAGTTATAAAGATAGTCTATCAAGTGACAAACATGGTTGTAAGGCATTATATAACAGTTCCTAAAACTGTAAACTTCAATTGTCCGGCAAATGCTAAACAAACTAGGGTAATAATCATGAAGGTCCCTGAAGCTCATATAAATGCTCATATATTGTATTAATTCCTGTGTTGTAAGCTGATGCAGCAAAAGTTAACATTATTCTTGTGAAACCTAAAAGAGATGAATCATAAAACACATGATAGGGAATTTACAGTGAATATATTTGGGATAAGGACAAAGCTTGCCTGAGATATTACGCTATCTTTGTTTAATCATACATAACCACCCTTATTTTACTTTGACAGTGAGCTAGTCTTTA